AAAAAAAAAAAAAAAAAAAAAAGCCAAGGGACTTCTAATGATCAAGCAGAGATGATAGGACCTTGGCATATGAAAAACCCTGATGTAGTAAATCAAAGCAGGCTGTCTTGAGTGTAGTAATATTTTTATGCTAATAAATTAGTGTCATAAGTGATTTGTCAATAAGATGTAGAATATGCTATGAAGGAAGTCAGACAATATTTTTCTTTCATGTAGAGAAATAGGATGAGGTCAGAGCAAAATCCTCAACACTATTTTTCCTAAGAAAGATGTTGGTGGTCTGACCCGCTGCACAATATTTGCATATTTAAATTCTTAAGTGCCTAATATCTTATATACCTAAGCTAGATTTAACCATTTATAAGAGTTTAATGAGAACTGTTATGGTAAGGAGCCACACTGCCGTAGTGGAGAACACTCCAGTCCAGGGATGTGCAGCACTTCCGAAGCAGTGGCTCCAAAACTTGCTTGAGCAGAGCTGTATGTGTGGGTAGGGAGAAGCTCATGGCCCATTCCACCTTTCTTCTCATAGAGATGTACCTCACAGCTGCCACTTTCAACAAGAACTGCATGCCCAAGTAGTAGAGACAGTAACATCTGTCCACCATTCCCTCACACACATATCAAACCATGCCTGTGTATCTCACCAACACAAACTCTCCAAACTCTCATGCTAATTTAGCGCAGACAACAACTCTTGGCCCACAGCCATGCACAAATGAGATGTGCTGTTTAAAGGGATGTGAGGCACCAGTCCTGAGGAACCAGGGCAGGAAGGAATTTGAACCTGGGCCTATGACTGTACTGGGACCAGTACTGTTTAATATCTTCATCAATGACATAGACAAAGGGATCGCGTGCACCCTCAGCAAGTTTGCAGGTGACACCAAGCTGAGTGGTGCGGTTGACATGCCTGAGGGATGGGATGCCATCCAGAGGGACCTCGACAAGCTCAAGAAGTGGGCCCGCGTGAACCTCATGAGGTTCAATAAGGTCAAGTGCAAGGTCCTGCCCCTGGGTCAGGGCAACCCCCGGTATCAATACAGGCTGGGGGAGAGCAGCCCTGTGGAGAAGGACTTGGGGGTACTGGTGGAT